AACTGAATTTATTAAAGAATTTAGAGAATAAGCGGTTGTTTACCAAATTCTAAGACAAATAATGACACAAAGATATTTGAAGTAGGGATGTCAATGGGGCGGGGCGGGGCCGGGGGGACGCTTCCCCATCTTTTTCTCCGCCATCAAATTCATTCCCCGTCCCCGATCTCCGTCACGGGGGAATTTCTATCCCCATCCCCGTTCCCTGCGGATCCCCGTTCTCCGCGGGGATCCCCATAGATCCTACATTTATTCATTAATATTTTATTTTTTTAAAATGTTTATATTTTCTATAAAAATAAAAAGCACAAAGAATTCACATATTTATTATGTTATTAAAAAATACTAGTATTTGACATTTATTATTTTTTATTAAAAATACTAATGGAACACAAAATAATAATATTTTTTTTATAAATTTCTATAAAATGCTATAAAATTCAACAAAATGAACTATAATACTTTTTAAAGTAACAATATGCCTAAACAACTAAAAAAATCCAACAACATAATTATGCTTAAAAAACTATACTTCATCAAAACTAATAAGGGATAATTATAAAATTTAGCATCATGAGTATGCTTGAAAAGCTAAAAAATACTTCATAATAAGTCAACTAAAAGCAAAAGTCAACATATCTCTATTTGCTCAATTGATAACACACGTAAAGTAAAAATATCAAAATACTTAAAACAAAGTTACATATAAATAAACTAAAATATTAAGCAAAATATCCAAACAAGTAATGATCAATCATGTCTCTCTTTCCAACTTCTCCTTGCAAGGTCTTCTTCCTCATTCCACAATTAGATATGACTTTCTTTTTCCTACGAAAAGTAAACAATCAATAATTATATTTACTTAAAAAAATACTTTAAAAACTAAAAGGTAATCAACACTAATATGTAAATTACCTTATTATCATCATCATCATCATCATCCATATCTTCATCCACACATTCGAATTGAGTCAACGTTTTTGAATAACCTAAGAAACAAATAGCTAAATTAAAATTTAAAAATCCTTTTCAATTAATCTTGTAAAAGATAAAAATATATTACCTTTTATATCTTTTCGGATCCAATCTTGAGTGCACATCAAAGCCTCTAAAGTGTCTTCCTTCAACCTACTACGTTGTTGACTTAAAACACGACCACTAGTACTAAAGGCGGACTCTGAAGCAACGGTAGAGATAGGAATTGCTAAAAAGTCCCTTGCAATCTTTTGCAAAGTTGGAAATTTCAAACCATTTTGTTTCCACCATCCTAAGATGTCAAAATTTTCCTTTTTTTGTTTATCAAGCAAGACACCATCTTCCAAGTAGGAAGTAAATTCTGACTTGACATTTGTAGTTGAAGTATTTTCCATCACATATTCCGAATAAGCCTTCTCCCAATCTTGACTTATGACATCAATGTCATCTACCAATGTTGATGCACCAACTTCACTACTTGTAGGAACCATATCATTATTTGGTTGATATTCTTCAACTAAATCTTCACACATTTGTATTACCTTTTCCAATTCTTTGGGAGCATTATTCCCATACATAAGTGGGAAGAAGTAATTCAACAAAGTTATTTTATATCTAGGATCCAAAACAGCCCCTATTGCCATCACCCCATTAATCAAACTCCAATATTTGTCAAACTTCACTATCATACTTCTTGCCATACTTTGTATAGTATCACTAGAAGAATCTTCCCACTTTCTTAAAGCTAATCTTATTTGACAAACTTTGGGAAAATAAATGTTTGATGTTGGATACTTAGTACCCGAGAACAACTCAGTGACACTAAAAAATAATTTCAACTTGTCACAAATTTCTCTTGCCATTTTCCAATCTTCTTCACTTGGTGCACACTTATATTGGGAATCACAACGTTGTTTTAAACGTTTAAAAACTTGTTCGTAAGGCAATGCAGAAGCAAGCATTAAATAAGTAGAGTTCCATCTTGTTCTACAATCTTGTGCAAGCTTCTTTTCATAAGTCATGTTCAATTGATTACAAGTTTCTTTAAATTTCTCCTCCCTCTTTGGTGTTGCTACCCAAAAACCGACACTTTCCCTAATCTTTTCAATTGAACTAGAAATTATTTGCATGCCATCTTTCACTATCAAGTTTAATATGTGGGCGCAACAACGCATATGAAACAATTTCCCTTTTAAAATAAAAGAAGAAGGTGACATTTTATCAATCAAATGGTCAATCAGAGCATCATTGGTGCTACAATTATCAACGGTTAATGTTGACAATTTTCTATCAATATTCCAATCCATCAAACAATCTACCAAAAAATCACAAATGACCTCAGCAGTATGTGGCGTAAGGACATAAATGAACCTAAAAATAAATTATAATAAATATCACATAAAATAACTATATTATAATAATAACGTAAATGGAAGGGAGAAGTTACCTGATGATCCGATTCTGCAAAATCCAATTTTCATCAATGTAATGAGCTGTAACAGACATATATCCTTTGTTCTGGTTGCTAGCAGTCCACATATCAGTAGTTATTGCAACGCGGCTTTTATTCTTTGCAAGTATTTTCATTTGCTTTGACTTCTCACTTTCATACAACTTCATTATATCATTCTTCATGGTGTTGCGAGAAACTATCTTGAACAAAGGTTGAAGAGAATGGCTATAATTTCTAAAACCAATATGGTTAACCATCATGATGGGATATTCATGCAATATAATCATCTTCGCGAGTTCATTCCTAGAAACATCTTGATTAAATGTATACTTTCCAACCACAAATGATTCATGTCTGTTTCCGGATTTTTTTTCTGTCACTTTAAGCATGGCTTGTTTTGGACCTCTCTCTGTGCGTTTTGGACATATGCTAATATGATCAAATAAATGTTTAGTACCATTTTTTGTATCACCACCAATTTTCTTATCACAAGATTTGCATATAGCCTTCCAAATGCCTCCTATTTTTTGCCTTTTAAAATAGGGCCAAGCATCTGATTTTAATCCCCTTTTGTTAGGACTTGTAGTGGGTTCAACGGGAGCTTCATGATCTTGATTTTCTATATTTATTTCATTTGGAGTAGATTGAACTTCCTGTGTGAGTGAAACTCCACTACTTTCTATAGGAACTTCATTCCCTTCCAAAGCAACATTAGGACTATTAGATGATTGAACTTCACCAACCATTCTTTTACCAAAAACCTGGCACACACAAACACAAATTTTAAAAGGCTACATGGAAGTAGAACAAAAATAATAAATATATGAAAAAATAATAAATAAATGAAATAGTAAATACATGAAATTCACACAAAAAAATAATTAATAAGAAAAATCTTATATTTCTAAATATATGATGCATTACACATATTTCTAAATATGCCTTATTTACTGTAACTTTTCAATTAGAAATAATAACATATATTAATTAATTATATACATTGAGAATACATTTATTTACCTATATACATGATATATTTACTCGTGTAAAAAGTTATATGTTATTATTTCACTTAATGGCTTTGGTTTTATAATTAGAAATATAAGATTTTTTTTTTTATGGGTGATAGCATGATATATTATTGTTTATATGTTATTATTTCATTAATAATTAGAAATATAAGATATTTGGTTTTTTTTATGGGTGATACCGTGATAGCATGATATATTGATTCATTTAAAAAGTAATATTTTTTTGTTTAATATAGAAAATTAAATTATAGTGTGATATATTAATAAAAAATAGGAAAAGTATATTTTAATATTTTTTAAGGAAAAACTGACGACATTATTTTAATTACAAATGCATAGTATAGATAAAAAATGAACACAAAAATATTTAAAAGGAGATAAAAATGAGTAATTTTTTGATTATTTTATATTTTTTTAATATGCAAATGATTTGATAACTCTAAAATTTCTAAACAATTTAATTTAAATTTAATCAAAATAATCAACTTTTCCTATAAGCAATTACATGAACAGGTTTATGAGAATCAAGGAGAAACAATCTACTTTTTTCTATAAACAATAATATAAACAGATTTATGAGAATCAAAGAGAAATAATCTATTTTTTCCTATAAATAATTACATGAACAAATTTATGAAAATCAAACCTTATTGATGAAATTGTAAGAGCTGTGAATAATGGAAGCACACCAAATAGAGAAGATGGAATTGGAAGAGGAAGATGAATGAAGATTTGACTGGAGAAGAAAAAAAGGAGTCTAACGTGTGAGACTCTAAATGTCTGGCAGAAGAAAATGAAACGCTTCAACTTTTTTAGGGTCTAATATTTACATTTCTCTCTCTTAATAAATACATGAATATTTATTTATTTATTTTTATAAATAAACATAAAGGAAATGACTAAAAAACCTAATCTAAAATATATATATTAAATTAACTATATTAAAATAATAGGCGGGGCGGGGTCCCCGCGGGGCGGGGGGTGTATTCCCCGTCCCCGTCCCCGAAATGCTTTCGGGGGAATTTTTCTCTCCATCCCCGCCCCCACGGGAAAAAATTCCCCATCTTTGGAGCTCCGAACGGGGCGTTCCCCGCGGGGATCCCCATTAACAGGTCCAAACTGACATCCCTATGAAGTGTCACCTAGATAATATGTGATTAAAATTTAATATATTATAAATAAATAATAATAAATTGCAATTACTTTAATTAGTGTATAAGTCAATAGAACGTTTTAAGTGTTTTTCCAACCGAGGGATTTAACTAGTTGTTAAAACGTTACGTAAAAACATAATGGTGTATAGACCAAGACAGCTAAAAATCTCATAGAAATAAGCGTTTTAGGTTTCAAACTTTATTATTTTTATCAACATGTTTTGACCAAAATTCAATTACGTACGTTCAAATATTAATGTAATTAAATGGGGAGTTTAAATGTGTTTCTTTTCCAAAATCTAGAACTTACATATATATTTGATTTATGTAAGCACTAGTAATTCTTAGAAAGAAAAAAAAAATCAAATATAGGTGAAATCCTACACAATGACTTTCCGTTTCCATCACCTTTCTCTTTTCTGTATTTTAAGCGTTGCTATGGTTTTGCTTGCCGCAGGTATGAAATAATATTTGCTTTATGTTCTTAGATTTCTTAAACCATATTGAATTGATTAAGTTTCATTTGATTGCAGCATCTGAGAATTTTCAAGATCCTTCGGGACATAAATGCATAGAAAAATGCAAAGATGGAGGCGATGGACTTTGCTATAAAACTTGCTATGAAATGAGTTTCATATCTGGTGGCGATTGTTTTTATGACACTCCAGATCATTCGGTTTGTTGTTGTGTCAAGAATAAAGAATGAGTTATTTTAAGTTTATAACCTTCCAAATAACAATAATGCTTAAATAGTATTTTCGTTTCTGCAAATTTGTGGATAGTGGATTTCAAACCTTCTCCCTCTAAATCATTACTCTCATTCCCTTCTACCAAACCACTTTGTGTAATATTTGTGATGTATATTTATATATTAGATAATATAATAATTTGTTTTGAAAAATATTTTGTTTTGTTTTGAATTTTAATATTAACTTTTGTTTTATTCTAAAAATAATAATATAGAGTAATTAATATATAAATAGTTTGAAATAGTTAATTATTATTTAATTATATTATTTTATTATTAATGTTTTGGATTGGGTATGCGTTTGGCATAAACATCATACAAGGCTCAATCCAATCATGTTGCAGGTAAAAGCCAACAAGAATGAGGCTATCTTTGACTATGTCGAAAAATGACTCAACCCTTGCATTGAGGATGCCCTCTGAGCCAGCCTCACCATAGGATTATCTAGGATTATTAACAGCTCTCAGGAAGTCTTGACGGACATCCTCCTCGTAGGGCAGACGCCCATCTCTCTGAATATCCTAGAGTCATCTTACCTCAAAAATACCACAACCACGTCCTCCTAGTAATTCACAGCAGTTCACTCAGGAGAGGGATCATGTGCTGGTCTCCACTACTCACGTAGATCCTGACAATCTTCATTTTGGGCTTATTCTATCAGCCTCCCAGTGCTGAGGGCAATAAATACCCTCTTGCTTGAGAGAGTCAGATATTCATTCATTTTACGTCACCTATTTTACTTCTCACTTTGGCATCAATCGCATCTCAACTTGAAGCCCGTGGGCCTTGACGATCTCTTTTGATCAGGTACGATTAGTGGCGTTGTCCGTGGGAACAAGGTGTCCCAGTCTTTCATTCACGTAAGACCAAAGCAACATCTTCAATCTTCAGTTGTCATGGTTGACCAAGCTATCAATAATGACCAGAACATTCACTTCGCCGACGCGGGCAACAACAATAATGTTGTCGCCCCCGAGCAAGACCCTTGGGAGGGGATGCCGCATCTTCCTTCACCCGCTCGCAACCACGTGATGACGCCCACCATCCCCGTTTCTGAAAATGCTGATGCCACGACCAGAGCCTTGTTCGCAGCGAGCAACCAGACGAACTATATGTTTTTCGTGCAGGGTGAGTGTCTGATGATAATGGAACAAACTCGGCGGTCCCTCAAAAAGAAATGAAGACCTACTTCTCGAACTCCTCCTCCCCGGAACAAGGTTCGCTCCTGATTTCCTGCGCAGAAACATAGACGAGACCATTCTCGAAGCCCTTCTCCCTGTCGAACTGGGCGAGGTCCTGCATTAGAGAGGACCTAACCTGAAGCTGTCAAAAAACGCGGTCACCCCTCCCCTCCCCCCCTCGCACAAAGAGCGATGATCCTTGAACGTAAAAGAAACATGGGTGAGGAAGAGAAGAGTCCCGGCCGAGGAACCATCCCCGTGACCAAAATTGACACAAAGATTGCGGCTACTACCAGTCCTCATCTCGCTCCTAAAAAAGAAGCGACGAAGACGACCCCTATGGTCCACTGTCCTAGGCTATCATGGAGGCCCCTATTCCTAAAGGGATGGAGAATCCTCCCCCTTCTGAAGGAATACGACGACATTGTTGACCCCGTCGACCACATCGACGTCATAGAAGCCATGCTTCACTATCACAACGTTGGAAGCCCCATTAAGTGCAGATTGTTCCCCACGATGCTGAGGAAAAAAACCATGGACTGGTATAAGAGCCTACCCCCTGGGTCAATCACCTCGTGGAGGAATTTGAAGAACCAATTCATCAGCAACTTCACTATATCTTGTTGGCACCCGAAGACTGGGGTCTCCCTCGAGGCAATCGTCCAGAAGAGCAATGAGACCCTCAAAGAATACATTGACCGGTTCAACCACGAGGCAATTCAGGTTCCCTGTGCCGATCACATGAAGAGATACTTGCTCGAGAGGGGACTCCTCCCGAGAACTGGATTTAGAAAGGCTATTGGCATTGAGCCCCCCAGGTCTTTTGATGCACTCCTCGAAAAAGCACTAGTGTACATGGACTACGAGGAAATAAAGGCCACCAACAACGCCCGCGATTTGAGGAACCGTGGACCATCTAACATCCGACGGTACAGTGACGCGAGCTATTCTCAATGAACATGGGAAAATATAAGGGAGAAGAAGCCTCGCGACCACTCCGAGCACAGAGGACCAGCGGAGCAGTTCACCAAATACACCCTACTGATCACTTCCCGCGAGCGTTTCCTTGCAGAGTTCTCCAAGGCTAAGTTCAAGGACGGCGGGATCAGGAGTTCTCGACCCACCCCTGTAAAGCTCGGGAATGACATAATAAAATACTGTCAATACCATTGGAGCCATGGTCACCTGATCGAAGACTGCGTCCACCTGAAGGATGCCATCGAGACTCTCATCAAGACAGGGAGACTCAGGCAGTACAAGCGAAACGACACCCCTCGCCAGGATACCCGCGAGGTTAAAGAAATTGAGGAGGATACCCGACCATCCGATGAATCTAGTCCCCTCCAGGTAGCCTTCTATGTCTCAAGGCCCGAGGACTTCCACATCCCCGACAGTCTTAAAGATGACGAGCCTTTTTTCACTGACATCTCAGTGAATTCAGCAAAGAGGAAACTCGGCGAGCTGTTGGATGCAGCCCCGATGCAGACTGTAACCCTTGAAAGATTCAAGGGAAAATCTGAGTTGATCACCTTCTATCTCGAGGAGCTTCCCGGTAGAGCCCCCAACTCTAGCATTTCTCTACTGGTGAGGGCAAAGATGGCCAACTTTGATGTATATTGCATCTTGGTCGACGAAGGAAGTTTCGTCAATATCATGTACACCCACCTGTTCTGCACCCTGCAGCTCGACGATACCCACTCATCACCATACATGGGGTCCTATCTGCAAGGATTTAACGGTTCGACCTCTAAGCCATGGGGCTACGTCGAGCTATTCGTCACATTTGGGGAAGAAATTGTATCCCAATAGGTCAAAGTGCGGTTTCTTGTGATCGATTTCTCATCTCTCTACAACTGAATCCTGGGGAGACCAACACTGGCCGAGCTGACCTCCGTACCCTCTATAGTGCATTTAAAGATGAAGTTCTACACCAACATGGCCCATGTCGCCACCAACCATGGAGACATCTCAGCTTCCAGGAGATGTTTCAATGCGACTTCTAAAGAGAAAAACATGGTCGACACTGGGGCACGACCTACTAAAAGAGAAACCACCTCGACAACAATGGCTACCTCAACAGACAAACCTGCTCGAGTTAAAGAATAACAGGCTCCACCAAAGGTCGAATCCATTGACCTCGACACTCGCTTTGACAAAGATGAAGTTGAGGCCCCCAATGGAGAAGAGAATCCTCTTCGACGCGTCCCAGACAGAGACTTCAATTTCATCCCCCTCGGCGAAGACCCGAACAAAGGCGTGAAGATTGATGTTGGACTCCCCGACCTAGTGAGGAAGCAACTCAAAGCCTTCTTGAGGGAGAATGCTAACTTGTTCGTGTGGAGCACTGTGGAGATTCCTAGACTCGACTCTAAGGTCTCATGTCACCAACTTGCTCTGGATCCAACCGCTAAGACAGTAGTACAACGTAGGCGTAGGCAATCTCCCGAAAAAGCGGAGGCTGCTGAAAAAGCTGTAAAAGACCTCCTACATGAAAATTTTATTTCTGAGGCCTGGTATTCAACCTAGCTCTCAAATGTTGTACTTGTTAAGAAAACAATGGAAAATGGTGTATGTGTATTGACTATACTGATCTTAATCGGGCATGTCCCAAAGATGCTTTTCCTTTACCTAATATCGACATGCTGGTCAACAACTCGGTCGACTACAAAATTTTATCATTTATGGATGCATTCTCAGGCTATAATAAAATCCCTATGGCGATGAGCAATAAATATTGCACTGCCTTCATGACTGGGTCTGGAAATTACTACTACAATGTAATACCCTTTGGCCTAAAAATGCAAGAGCAACATACCAACAGATGATGAATAAAGTCTTCTGCGGTGAGATCAGGGGCATGCTCAAGGTATACATGGATGACATGATCATCAAGTACTGAGCGAAAACCGACCATGCTGCCCACCTCAAAAGAGTTTTTGACCAAGCAAGGCGATGCAAGATGAGATTTAACCCGTAGAAGTGCACCTTCAGGGTCAAGGTGGGAAAATTCCTAGGTTTCTATCTAATCGAACGGGGAATTGAATCCAACCTTGACAAATGCAGGGTGTTCTCCGAGCTCCCCACTTCTAACTTGAAAAAATCCATATAAGTCTTGAATGCCATGCTCACCCCGCCATTCCGCTTCGTGACGAAATCTGCACAAGACAGATTACCATTTTTCAAACTCTTGCGTAAAGAGGTGGCATTCGAGTAGACCGAAGAATGTGAGAAAACCCTCTTCCACCTCAAACAAGCCCTTTCACAACCACCCTAGTTATCAATGCTAGAGAGCGAGGAAATTTTTTTCCTTTATCTAACTATCTCCACCGAGGCCAAAAGTGCGGACCTCGTCTGCGAGACACCAGATGGGAAGAAACCAGTGTATTTTACCAGGAAAAAATTACAAGGACCCAAGGTTAGATATCAATAAATTGAAAAGGTAGCCTTATCCGTCATTAACTCGGAGAGGAGACTCAAATATTACTTCCTAGCACACACAGTCGTCGTACGAACAAACCAACCCATGAAACAGCTCATAAGTCGACCAGACATGGCCGATCGAATGCTGAAATGGTCCATAGAGCTTTCAGAGTATGAAGTTTAGTACAAAAATAGGAAACCCCTTAAAGCCCAAGCGTTGGCCGACTTCGTTGCAAAGATCCAGCCACGAACCCCTCGCGGATGGGAAACACAAGTGGACCATCTTTGTGGAGGGAGCTTCCAGCTCGATGAGAAGCGGATCAGGAATCCTCTTAAAAAATGAAGAGGGTGTTGCGA